CTATTATGCTCCTCAAAGTAAGATAGAGAATGCAGGAGTTCCATTCATTGACTATACCCATCCTATAAATTGCCAAAACAATCAGATCGGTGAATGAACTCATATTCTTTTCGACAGTTCATTCTTCATTAGTCCTTTCAGGTGTATGTTCATAACAGAACAGCTGACATCGATAGCATTAATGTTTTTTTCAAATAAAATGAAATCAATGACGGTGAAATTTGAAGAAGTTTATGCGAATTGATTGCTTAGAAGTGTGAACAGTGATTAACATTGGTTAGAGTACCGAGGAGAACTGAACAGATGTTTCTGTCGAACTTCAGAATCTTCGTCAGTACATACGCATGGTTTCACCTTCAATGGCTGAATTCTCCCCGACAGACTGAATGAATGTGTTACCTGAGTGAATATTTCTTATTCGATAATATTTCACTTCATTGTCTTTCAAAGTCTTTTGTGTGTAATTTTCTCATCTGTTCATTAGAAGCTTTTGTATATCGGACAAACACTGGGATTGTTTTCCTCAAATGAAGATTGATGCATTAAACTGGTCTTCCATTAGAGTTTTATCTTAAATCGTTCATTCCCAGGTGCTCATCATTTTACCCAGCTTCTAGTGAATGTCTTAATTTTGGTTCTTCACGAGCTTCGTGTAATGTCTACATATATTTGACAGCTATTTGCCATCATCAAACTGATGACAAAATGTATGCGCAGTCTTAAGAAACTTGTCATCTTTGGGTTTCTGTGGTGGAATTAAACTGCAATATTTATCGAGTTAATCTGTCTTCAAAATTCCCACCTTTCATGCATCGTCTCAGTTGTCCAAATCTTCTTTGGATAGACTTCATAACTATGAACTTTATCTTTGTGGGAGGGTCATAGGGAAATTCCAGCATACTTCTACTGATTTTGTCATTGGTTGGAGATGAATCGGCTGAGTATTGAGCGCGAAAAACAATGTGTTATGACCTCATTTTGGTAAAGGTGAGGGGAGTCGCCTGCTGACATGAGGAACCTCGAGGTGATGGCTGGATTTAACACCATGGGTATGTACTGACGAAGATTCCGAAGTTCGCCAGAAACATCTATTCAGTTTTTCTTGGTTCTCTAATCCATGTTAATCAGTGATCACACTTCGAAACAATCTATTCGCATAAACTCCTCGCGATTTTGATCTCGCTGATTCGATATTATTTGAAGAAAAGCATTAATGCTGTCGATCTCAGCTGTTCTGTAACTGTTATGTACATACACCTGAAGGGGCTAATGAAGAATGAACTGTCGAGAAGGATATTATTTTGTTCACTAGTCTCAGGGGTGTTTTGGCAATTTATAGAATGGATATCTTTAATGAATCGATCTCCTGCATTCTATATCTGACTTTGAGGTGCATAGTAGAATACGTCTACATATTTACTTATCCAGACACCATCGTTTCAACTACAGGCGGCATGATGGATGAGAATGTGAATCATCCAGTCGACACGCTGTTATTATACAACATTTTCACTGTTTAAAACACATCAAAGTTAAAATCTGTGTTCAGTGTAATTTTTTGGAATCACATTTTTTTACAACCACACATTGATAACCTTGAGAAAATTTGATTTTCATGGTGTTTGTTAATGCTAAACAAGTTGGAATAAGCAGTCATAGATCAGTCATCAGTGAACTGTTGCGAGTTGAATAATAGTGTGGCTTTGTGTTGACGTCAACTCAGGCTATGTTTCAAAACACGAAACGAAACACACATGCACACAAGTGTGGTATAAGTATTTTGCTAGCACGCTTTAGATAGATATGAATATGCGTTGTGTATCAAGGCATACTCTCTCTCTCTCTGTGTCTGTGTTTGTCTGTATACTGTTCTGTTTTCGTGTTTTTTTTGTGACTAAATCGAAGTTTGTGCATGCCACAATTTAGTGTATGATTGGTTTTTATAAGAAATGATTTGCATTCTCCAGGGTTGTTCAACTCAGAAATACTATTTTTCATTATTGTTGTTGTGTTAATATAGAAGCTCATTCGCCTATTTTGTGTTTGTCATTGGAGAGATTGTAGATGTGTTCGATTGTTGTTTGATTGTATGACTCGTATACTGACTGAATGAGTGATGGGTGCGTCGTTTATGTTTAGCGTAAACTGTTTAATGACTGTGGACGATATTTGGTTATTTCAGGTGATTGTAAGAGAGGGTGGATAGATTGGCGGCTTGGTAGTTTTTTGTCGTGAAAGTTTCACCTGTGAAATGTTGGGGTGGTCAGCGATTTTGAGTTGGTGTGTTTTAATGTCGTGTTTTTGTGTGATGAGTGAGGTACTATTCACGTGTTTTTTGATTGGTATCAGTAATATCGTTTATGTATCATCAGGTGAATAGTGTCGATGAAATGTTTCTGCAATGAGGAGAAAGGAAAAGTGATATGGGGAATGCAATATCCGTTCCTGTGTTGGCTTACTCTGTTTCTGTGATAGCTGTTGTTCTTCTTGAGACAGACTAGTTTGAGGTGAAGTTGATTATTTTCCACTGGTTGGTAATTGTTTTTGAAGTTTCTTTTTTGTAATTGTGGATGTATTTGGTTTCAGTTTCGGGGTGGGAGAATGTCATCGCAAATCGTTTTCATGCATATTGTTGTAAGTAGATTTTCCAAGTCTGCTGGAATTCTCCATGAAACAGAATCTGAAACAGCTTTAGTGTGACACATCACCTTCTGCCGTTTTGCGTTAGCTAAGGTGATGAAACTCACATTATTCCGTTAGCACAACGGTAGATACTTGAGGAACTTGAAATTTCAATTTTGGACATAATTTGAATTTGGTTATGTAGTCGTGAATAACCATCAGACTCGTCATTTTGTCGTTCTTATATGAGACCTTTTTCCAGTCGGTTCCCATTCGGTCATCCGGATTCAGTGCCTTAATCTAGCTTCTGGATTACTGAGCGTTCAACTGCTTTGTTTGACTATATGAAGGCCTTTTGCTCTGCCTTTAATAAGCTGATTGGCTTTTACTCAGTAAATTCTTGCTTATTGTTTCACACAGATTTTGCGTCGCTTCGGTATTCCCCGATGAATTTTTATTCGAATTAGCCTTATTTTGACAGCTGATATAGCGGTATTGTTAGTGTAAACACGGAGTGCGTATCAGATATTTGCGTTTGCACTACGCCAACTACCTTAGGAATATAAAATTTCATCTTCCATCGGGGAAATGAATTTTGTTTATGTAATCATCATTTTTAGTCCTCTGGGAATTTTGGATATCACCTTCTGCCTTCTTATGTACGCTGCAGCATTTCACGCATATAAACCTAATAAGGGTTGAATGGAGAATCTTTACAGCATATTTAATTCTATCTCAGTTACTGTATAACACAACGAGTTATGGTTATGGTTGGGTACTTCTTGATATTCCACAACAAAGTCGAAATTGCTCTTTTGTTCTCCATGAATTTCATCAATATTTCTCTAACTGTTACGAAGGATTCATCCACCCTGAATCTTATCAAATTTTTGTAAACCAACATCCCATGTCTGGATTTCATTCTCATAAATCCCTCCTATTTTATTTACGAAGTGCAAGTTGTCGAATCTGGATATTTTTGAAGGGAATGCAATCACTTCAATTGTCATAAAAAACCATCTAGAACCTCTTTTCTCGCCATATGTATTGTAGTACACCAAGTGGGGTGTTTGGTCTCTATTCTGAGAATCTTAACTAAAGTCATGCTGCTGAAGTATATTGCGAACTGTACACAGATTTTTACCTTAGTTCATACCTAAGACATATACAGGATGCACACAACCATGTTTATCGTTCTTGATTAACAAAACGTGTTATCAGTTGGTTGGACTTCAAGGTGCATTATTGGTTTTCACAACGAAATATCGTCAGCCATAATCCAGAAGCATTTAATAACTCATATATTCAGAGATGATTCACCTACCAGCTCATGCAGATGAACAATCGAATATGCAATCTTCAGCATGTATAATTATCCTGTACTGTCGTTGTGTTCCCCACCCCCGCTTACCTTTTTTATGTACTGGTCGCCAACTGATATGATGGCGTTGACAGCTGATATAACTTGAGTGAACTTATGCATGGGTATAATAATACTGATGCAATTGACAGCATGAAAAATAAAATCCGGATTAACAACTCCAATGTAAAGTCAGTGCTACTTTATGGATCGGAGACTTCGACCGTCATGAAGAACACTTCGAACTAACTACAGACCTTCATCAACAGCTGTCTTCACTCAATACTATTCAAGATCAGATGACCGGCCAGAAATATCACCGACAGGGAGGGATCTCTGACAATTAGCGAACTAGCCCAGCAGAAACTAATTGTGCCGCAAATAAGCAAGAGGGAATGGAGGTGCATTGGCTGGCCATACTCTGAGAAAACAGACCATCAAGTGACATCATTAGACAGATCATCGCTCGAGTGGAACCCGACAGTGTGGGAAGCGACAAGCTGGTCGTCAGTGCGAGAGTGGGTTGACATGGAGGAGGTCATGTGAAAAGGGGATTAAAGCATGTAGGCAGACCTGGAGCCAGGTGGAAGCGTTGGGGGAGAATCGAATACAATGGAGAGGTATGGCTGAAGCCCTCAAGGAACTAAAGGGAACAATAATATAATAATAATAGTGGACAACTCCCCTGATATTCTAGATACACCTACCTATCCTTCCGAATTATCATCGGCTTCAATGGGCAACGTAAATATTAAAAGACAAAGACTGGCCTGTGACTATAAGGATACAATTTTATTAGGAGAAACACGTCATATATATATATATATTTAGCCACACCGAAACCAGCCTAGGTCAGTGAAAACAGACTGTTCTAATTCGCGGGTGATTCGACCAAGACCAAGGTAAAAAAATGATGATGATGACATTTTACAGTGATCCGATCACACTATGAATCCTATAATGAATGATTACTGTTTCAGACCGATTCTTATTATCATTCTCTTTATCATTTCTACAGATACACTTCGTGTCTATCTATTAAATCAATTACCAATCAGTGTTTTATCCGATGAGTCAAGCATGAAAAAGCTAAGCGATTGTTCAATATGTATGGAAAATTATCGTATTGGTGATCGTGTCATGGGACTGCCATGTTTTCATATGTTCCATCATAGATGTTTGTGCGCATGGATTGAAAAGGTAATTTGTTTGCTTATTGGTTTTATCGATTGGTGGTTGTATCATTATTGCTTCTCATGTAGTGCACCTTCTGTTCATGTATATTCGAAATCTATTCTAACTTTATTTATTTGAGTAGATGCTGATAGTTGTAATCGACTGGTCTTAGAAACTGATGATTGATTGTTGCAATCTGATATATGATACGTCATCAGATAGTGAGAGGCAATCAGAAGGAAGGATGTCTTGCTTGATAAAGTAGGTCTCATGCATCTTAGCACTCGTCAGTAAAACTCTCTGCTAATGCCTCAGACTACAGCATTGGGTGACACAAGTCCGAATCGCAGAAGGGGAATTTGACTTCCCTCAAGGCTGAAGACATGCCTTGCTGACTGATGAGTGAGGAGGCCTCCTACTGATGATTGTCTCCGACCATGCAATAACAACAGTCCAGAGCACACACCGTCATGGCGAGCCATGTTGTGTGGGGATCATATGGCAAACTTGCCTGATAGAATTCAGTTTACACCAAAGGACAAGACCAGCAACACCAGGTGGAACTTAGTGTCGAAACAAAGATACAATTATGTGGTTTATGGAGTACTCTGATAAATTCACTTCATACTGAAGTCCGTGTTGAAGCTACTGTCCATAAGGAGACAATGGAAGCTATGAAATTAAACCACTGAGCCTGGAGAACACAATCATATCAAAAGTTTATTCGGTTTTTTCAAGGGGAAGGCACCAATTAACCAATCAGGGCCAAGTGTTGGTTTGCAGGGATTTGATTGATAACAGGATTTCGGTATAAGCTGAAATAAGTTACAGAACAAGGAAGTGCTGGACAGCTGTTCTGTTCTAGTTTGGGACTGATCGTCAATACGTCGTCACAGGGTTTCAAACCCAGGATCTGTCGGTTACAAGGCGAACTCATAGACCACTCAGCGACTGGGGTCCGATCTAACGGCCAGCCCATGAATTGCAACTTCGGCCAGTTCACGATCTACCGTGACTGGCACTAACCATTACCATCTATGTTCTGATGCTCATTAGTTATTCATTCTACTCAGGTGGGTGGTCATCTGGGTTCCTGTGAGAATCGGTGAACAGTGAGGGACAGGAGGTCGGATGTGGGAACATATACTCGCTAGCGATGACATTCACTAGTGTCAGTCGCACTATATCGTGCACCATATAGGGAGAAGGTGGAATTCATGGTTTGGCCACTGAGTCTAGTCTCAGTGACTAAATGCTTTACAAACTCACCCAGTAACAGAAAGGTCGTGAGTTTGAAACCCCAGTGCCTACATACAGACGATGAGTCCCCAATTAGAAAAAGACAGCTGTCCCATACCCCCGGGTTTTCCATTGGTTCTCTAATCGATATCAGTTCATGATGAGATTCTGTGATCGATTTCAGGTGTGTGGAACCACTTGACATCTGTCATTGACCTACTCAGGCTCATTCAAAAAATGTAGGCCATTTGATGGAGGAGAGGATGTAATCTCAAAGAAACTTACTGCCAGGAAGAAGGACGCTTGGAAGATAGCCTCAATAATAATTCTATTTACTAACTCAAACCGTAGTCAATATAAGGTATGCGTAGGGCTCCAACTTGCTTGCCGAACGTCATCTCAAACCTAGGCCTCATCAAGGACAGGTACCGGTTACGGAATCATCAACAGTCAAGGAGAATCCGAGACCTATTCGTTTCCCGTTAGTTTGGCAGACTGCTTCAAAGTTACATAAGGCAAAGTATACTGGTCACTGAATTTCAGCCTAGCGGTTGAGTGATCAACAAGCTGAGCTGGATGTACACAACAAAATAATCCGAATAACTTAGTGGTAACGTCTCCAACTGCAGTACTGAGTGAAACGGCTTCCAATTTGACAACGAGAAAATGAGTTCCTTCAGGATTGCTGGTAGGCGCTTTGCTGACTGATGAGTGTCAACAAGCAGAAGACTTAGGACAAGTAAGTCTTCCTGCTGACTGCCTCCAATCCTATTAGGCTTCTACCAATTCCCTGGCATTTTCAGTCCCTTCATGAATTAAAATTAAATTAAATCAAATAAAACATGTTGTGTTTTTTCACATTTAGTTTACATTCTTAGACTTGAAGCAGCCATTTAAAAAAATTTAATGTCTTCCTGCTTACATTTTCTAATTCTTCCCCAGAATTTACAATGTCCAGTGTGTCGAATGCCAGTCTATGAAGTGGACTAAAATGGGACTACTGGAGCTTCCGTAACAATATATTGATTACTATTGATATTTATCGAGACATAAAATAGAGAATTCTAGAATATTCGACGTAGGATATCAGAGGTGTACTGTCTCTCTTTCTGTCTTTTTTAAATATGTCATTGCAAAGACAAAAGACAATTTTAAATATATTTTACAAATTTCAAATTCACGACAATCCATTTGTTCATGTATGTATGTATGTTTGAATGTGTGTTAAGAAATGACTGACATACCTTTGATTCTGAGTATATTTCAACATATTTCGATTTGATGCTCACGCGTGTAAACGTTTGTGTTTGTTATTATCCATTGTCATGTACCTGTTACTAACATCAAAACATTTTGATTCATATATGTTCATAATTTCTGCTTGAAAACAAAACGACAGAACATCTTCTTCATAATCCTTATCTTCGTGTTTATTCAGTAATTTTCAATTTGTTTAAATCATGTACAACGAAATTAACTTATTCAATTGTACAATGGTTCATTTGTTTTACTACTTTGTTTTTCTTTCCCTCCAGAATCAAATAACTTCGAATAATAAGTGGGGATAAGTTTAATATTTATGCAAAGTTCTAAAATTTCCTATTTGGCATATATCTCAATAGTTTACAGTTTACAATTTATTTAGGATAGTAGGCTATATGCCTGTGTTAATCCTTTCGATTTATTGAACAAAAGAGGTCCAATCTCGCCTTGAATGAATCAATGGATGGCGCTGATACGACGTGTTCCGGTAGGGAGTTCCAATGGTTCACAATTCGATGCGAAAAACGGATCTCCAGACGCAGACGATTCGACTGTGGTTTTTGAACCTTGAGGTGATGTCCTCGCAATTGGTTGGTGCTTGAAGGAAGAAATAGTTTAGATAAATTATCTCCAAAATCATTTCTTAGTATACGGTATGCTAGTATTAGGTCACCCCTAAGTCGTCTGTATGACAGTGGAAATAAACCCAGTCGACTTAACCTCTCCTCATATGACAAGGTTGAGAAACCCTTTATTAGCTTAGTTCCTACACTTTGCACCCTTTCTAATAAGTCTATTTCGTATTTGAAACACAGACTCGCTGCCTGGATCCCATATTCCAAATGAGGTCTGATATAAGTCGGATATAATATACGAAATATATCAGCGTCAAAGTTCGCGAAAGCCTTGCGTATGGCCCATAACATTCGAAAACCCTTAGTGGCTGCAGTTCTACAGTTTGTTGCTGTTTTCAAGTCATGCTGCACAACCACTCCCAAGTCCTTGTACTCAGTGACCACTGGGAGAGTAATGCCATTCATTGAGTAATTGTGCACGTGACTATGGGATACATGCATAACTACACTCTTGCTTAAGTTAATCTCCAAGGCCCAGTGCTTACACCAATAACTTAACAAGATTAAATCTTCCTGCAAAGCAAGTTGATCACTGTCATCGCGCAAAGCCCTCCATATATTGATGTCATCAGCAAACAGTAAGTAGGATGACTTAACTACCCATGGAATCTTATTAATATAAATCAGGAAAAGAAGTGGGCCTAGAATTTTACCCTGAGGAACGCCACACTTAACCGGTTCCCATGTTGATAAAACCCCGTTAACTCGTAGAGAGAATTAATTGACCTCATTTGTAGTAAAAATGGTCACTGTGAACCGATGAATCGATACTACTGCCATGAGGCAATAAAATTAGAGATTAAACTGTGACAAGGTATAAATAATGAGAATCAAATCAATATGTGATATGTGAATGTTGTTAGAACAATAATATACATACAGTCTATGAGAAAAACGGTTAATAAACTACAAAGTCAATTGAAACGTTCAAGTGAGTATCAACAATGTGATTATATCTTTCTGGAGGGATTTTCCAAGCAAGCTATACTTCACAAGAGATGTCCAAATGTATCAATGGGTGGATGGATTTTACACATAGACAATGGTTCCACTATGTTGTTTTGGTCCCCTACATGTTTCTTAATATGCTTGACTATGACCAATGTTGAGGAATATTCTAGCCTCTTACGGCCAATGACACTCTGACAAAGTCAGTAAGGAAGTTCTGGCTTCAAAGGTTTCATGGTGTCTTCTCTACTTCTTTATACATACAAGCTGTTCGTATGGAAGGTGAAAAGTCTATCACCTTCAACAGTAAAACTACACATGCTTTGGAAACAGAACTTTTGTAGATAATCGCCAACCAAATGTTGTAGCAAAGTAATTACCAAATCCACTGATTGGTAATGCTGTAGGAAGACAGCGGAAATCATTCAACCGGGATACAGTCGACATGCTGGTGGGCAGTGGATGAGTTAAAGCCATGTCAAATGCACGAAAGTGCATTCATCATTCAGTACTGTTGAGTAAAAACAGAGAGACTGGCTTCAACAACATGTCCCAACTTTGTCCTATTTGGTACTGTCCCCTTCAGTTGGAATCAAGACCGCTCATAATCTCTCATCTCCTCCTCGCCTACTCTACTAGCTCGCTAGTTTCCCAGATGGTCCAAAGGCCTAGTAAAGAAGGACGGCTGAGCGAGAGGCTAGCCACCCTACACAACAAAACCAATCAAACAGCTTAAGAAACTTCAACGCAAAACAAATGCATTAAATATACAAAGTATATAAATGACAAAAGTATTCTTCGCTGGAAGTGAAGAGGCGTAATGAAACATCAAGCTGATGAAAGCCTTCGGGAAGCTGGTGAACGGGTGTGTCTTTTCCCGTTAAGAATGGGAATCGGAACGAGGAATGCAAGTACAATATACGTGATTGGCTTGGAAGGCTGCCCACGTAGCAATAGAAGTAAAACCTACACCAGTATGAAACTATGAAGACGAAATTAAATATGTTCAGGTCTGAAGTCTCATTTCTAGATATGACTGTAAAACAACAATATTTACTGCCACAAGCTAACGAGACTATATCAGTGAAACTAATATACTTGAGGATATGTTGTATCAACAAGGACTTCTCGTTAATTTTCTCTGAACACTTAACCTACTCATAAGTAGTTAAATAATGGTCAATGTTTTATGTCCACCCTAAGGAATCCAGTTAATAGAATTGACGGGAGTAAGACAAGCTGGCTGCCCACTATCTCCAATGATTTTCCTGATTGCAGTAGATTGGATAATGTGAAAGACAGCGGGAGATGAGGAAACAGGTATAAAATGGAACCACACAAAAAACTTGGAGGATATGAACTTCGACGATGTGATATATATGTCTGATTTCCCACAAACTGTAAAATATGCAAGTGAAAAGCAACAAGCTGGCAGAAGAAGCATCCACAAAAGATAGGACTTCAGGTGAACATAAGGAAAACAGGGGTGATGAAGATTCCTGGCCAACAGCAACAACAACAACAGACAACAATTAGCATAGATGGGAGGAACCTGAAAGAAACAATCTCATATACCTACCGATCTGGGAAGCATCGTTTCAAATACAGGACAACGGAACCGATGAGGATATCAAAGCAAGGATCATCGAGAAACCAAACAGTGCTACTTTACGGATCAGAGACTTCAGCCGTCATGAAGATCACTCCTAACAAAATACAGACCTTCATCAACAGCTCTCTTCGCTCAATATTCAAGATAAGATGGCAGGCCAGAAAATATCAGCGACAGGGAGGGATCTCTGACAATGAGCGAATCAACCCAGCGGGAACCGATTGTGCAACAAATAAGCAGGAGGAAATGGAGGTGGATTGGCTGGCCATACTCTAAGAAAACAAACAAATGAGTGATATCAATAGACAGCCCGTCGCTCGAGTGGAACCCGACAGAGTGGGAAGCAGCGAGTTGGTCGTCAGTGCAAGAGTGGGGTGACATGGAGACGGTCATGTGAAGAGGAGATGAAAGCACGTGAGCAGACTTGAAACCAAGTGAAAACGTTTGCAGAGAACTGAACCTAAGGGGAGACATGTGGCTAGAGCCCTATATTCCTATAGGAATTAAAGGAAATAATAATAATAATAAAATGATAAGAATTACTTCAAATCATGAGAATGCATTAGTTTTTTCAAACTGGTAACGAGAATGTCATCAACATTTCTCTCCCTGAAAAGCCTGTACTGGTCAAAGTTTACTGATCTGGTGTGAAATATGATCAGCAAACTAAGCGGTGAACAGCACTTTGATGTTGGATAATATTAACAGTATATCGATTAGAAGTTATGAAGTCAATTTATGTGTTTTGTGTAGCATTCATATAGCCAAAAAGGAAATAAGAAACAAATCTCTCTTCCATCCTCTCCTTGTAGTCTGCCTCAGCTGGCTCCTCGATTACCATAACCTGTCATTTTCTCTTCATATGATCTCTCCCATGTCACACTTGGATGATCACATAAAGGATTCCAGTCAATGACTTATCACATGATATCGCTCTACGGTCTTCTCAGAGTATGTCCAACGCATCTCTATATATTTCTGCATACTTGTTGAGCTATAGTTTTTTGATTGGTTGATTTAGTTGGTGGCCGCAGATCCTTCTCGCTTATCCTTACTGGCCAAAAGCAGTGAATAGATACCACGATGAAATGACCTTGAACCAACCAATCAGATTGCTCAGGATTACAAACGGATGCTCACCATAAGTTTCGTCGCCAATTTCGCCCAAATTTGGTCCTTGACTTCTGTATGAAATATTGGGTGACAGAGAGGAGTAATATACGCATATATGGAATGGGATAATGGGAGGCGGTAAAAAATAGATATCACCGTAGAATGAACATGAACTAGCCAACCAGGTTTTCCTGGGTGAAAAGTGGTATTCATTGGATAAAAAAGTATATTTATAAGGTACATGTGTAATCAGAATTAAGTTTACAAGGTATATAAATACATGTACATATATATTTCTTGTTTCAAGTATTGATTCACGGAGGATTTAATCATGCGCTGACATCAATTAGAGAACCACTGAGAAACTTCGGAGTACTCGTCTGGGACACTTAATCAGCGCGAACCCACCACGGTTAGAA